GTCGAAAAACTGGCTAACATGCGTGAAGCTACTACTACCGCGAAGAATTACTTATACGTAGGAGAAGCAACTAATCCACCCTGTCTCTTTGTCATGCACGAACGTGCATTTTATCTTAATCTTCGTTAGTGCTCCTTCGCTTTACTCTTAACTGTTATTCGTACTACACCATACATTACCAACCACACTATGTCTGTCTCTGTCTGAGCTTCTGTCTTACCCTTATTATATACTCTGTTGACACTCCAAGCCGTAGAGGAGCGGTTACAAGCGTGCGAAATGCTTCGGCAGACTCGCTCGCGAACGGTTCAGGACTGTTGCGGACCATTCCTAATTGGGTAACTATTGGCGAAACCGTTTGGACCCCCGCGTTGGCACCCCCGAGTCGCGAAGCTCTGCTCAACCCTTTGCCGTCGAAATGAGTCGCGGAGCGATCGCTAACGAGAGGGAGATGGTCGTTGATCTATGTTTTTGTTACAAATTTTGTCACTGAATTGATGTTACCGTTTATACACTCTATACAAATTTTTAGTCATAATAGGAACTACGATTAAAGGAATTACCTTTTTAAATTGTTAAAAACGACATGCAGCTTAATAAAAATCTTGCTGACGCAAAGGAAAAGATATTTGACACTAAATTGCATTTCGCGAATAATTCCACTTATTTTTATTGTGTATTTTTTCGGTTAACATATACCTAAGCAACGTCAGGTAAATGGGATCAGAAGTAATCTTCTAGTAATAGTAATTTTCTTAAAAATATGAAAAAAGATGATTCACGCAAAAGAATTTCTGACGAATGTTTCGTTATATTTCGTTTCATTTGAAACTGTCTTTATCAAGTTGACTTAAAATTTGGCTGAAGTGATTTATTGTCTTCTTCTAGAAGCATGAATTAGAATTAGATCCAGCAACGAGTGTTAACATCAACCGATATTGTTAAAGTTGGACATTATTAAGCAAATAAGAGCGAAGAACACTTTCCTCTTTTTTGCTCTATTTGTTACTATATCCCGACAATTGTTTAGTCGATGTTTTCGTTCGCGATCGCTTCCGGCCAATTCTAGATCGCAAGGGATGATGACGCTCGTTACTAGCGTCCCTAGCACCTTCGTCCGATGGTGACGAAGGGAGGCTCTCTCATCTGCGAGGACGTCCGCGCGTCGCCCGCATTCGGTCGTGTTGGCCCCCCGATCCGATGATCACGAACTCCATCACGAAACCCCACAAATCGCCGTGTGTAGGTAGGTACGCATAAAATTGACGTAGATTGCGCATGCGATGGCGGTAACTGAGTATAACCCGTATAACTCTAGCTTGCACTACTCGGTGGTACAGCGAGACCGTAAGGGAATCGAATGCCCCCAACGTATCGTAATAAATATCCCTTTCGTTTAGCTCAGTTTGCCCCCGCCATTTAGCTCACGAATTCGGGTGAAATGCAACCAAGTCGACAGGCGAAGGAACTCACGTCACGGACAAAAAGAAAAAGAAGAGATAAACATTCGCGATTACTAAAAAAAAAAAAAATTAAAATAAAAGTAAAAACGCATCTGTATAATTATAGAAACACGACTACAGCTACCAGAACAACGACAAGACCAGAGTACGCCGACACTCAGGGGACACTCAATAAAGATAAAAAGGGGGACACACCGTAACACACCTCTGCGCGAAAAAAATACCGATTATACGGCGTGCTTGTGTGTTGCTGGCTTGCCTCCTCGCTTCCTGATAGAACGTCCTTCCCTGTTTTTGCAGCTTCGAGTAATCAGAGCGTTCAAGTCGACTCTGGAAGATCTGGAGGAGCGTCGCTCTGTCCATAGTTTACACAGCTTACACAGTATGCGCAGTTCACGCAGCCACACCGGGCCCCGACCACTCTCTGACTTCACATACATTGACGAAGACCCGACAAACACCACCACCACCACCGCGCAGAACGTCGCCTACAAGTCCTCTAATAGGAGTGCTGAGCCGATGATGAGTCAGGATTACGAGACAAACTACAGAGGACCCTCCAGGATGCAACAGTCCCTCAACAGCCCCGCCTCGCCGTTGTTGCTGACCGTGACCGGACCGGCCAACGCGTACAATCATCATTACACCATCACCAATACCATCACCGACAATAGATCCCCTTCTAGTAACGCCCTTAATCAGCCCCTGAGTCCCAACCATATGGCGCCGATGAGCAGCAATAGAGACAACACCGGGAATTCCCTGCTTCTGAGTTCCAACAACCTGGTCCTACCGGAGCTGACTAAGCTCGTGCACGAGACCAGCATCTAAAGATTTCTTCTCTCTTCTCTATGTATTTCATTCCATCCCCTTCCATCCCTCTCCATATCTTCTCTATTTTGTTTCAGTGTCGTCGATTCGCGAGCTTTGTCATTTAACTTTATCGCCCTCCCTCCCCGCCATTTCTTGCTTCGAATCTATCTGTTCATCCCCTAATTCGTTCTTCTCTCTCTACTATGTAGAGGGACTTGTATATATTCTGTCCCTGTAATCTCTCGCTCTCGTATGTTTCGCGAGATCTCGCTCGATCCTGCGACCTTGTCTCATTCGATCGGTAAAGAGAAGGCAGTATCATCCACGTCCACGTAAACGATATGGACACACTCTCGTTTACGCGTTCACCATCTACTTCTTCTCTGCTTTCAAGATACGTCATCATCCGTCTCTATTTCCGCCATCTCTTTTCCGAGAGCGTACTTACCGAACGATCTTGCTCGTTTCGGTCGCCGAGTTCTCTGTCCCCCTTGACTCTTTCTCTCTTCCGCCGTCCTTCTCCGCCCCTTCGACGAAAAACTTTTTGCCACTCGCTCAACGGGGACGGCGGACCTGATCTGATCTCAAAGGGGTCGAAACGCGCCGATTTGGAGGATATGCCTACACACACGAACAAGGCGCGACATTCGCAAATCGCGAGCTCTTGCTAAAATTGTACTTAAGGCGCGAATGTGACTCGGAGAGGATAAAAAAGGAAGGAATTGGTTGTCGAAACGAAAAGAGATTTTTTTCCGCGGATATCGCGATAGTTTGCGAATGGCACGTTCTCGTGCATAGGCTGTATACACTCAGATAGTATACAGGGGTCCCGCTTTCAACTGCTTCTTTCCCGTACCCCGACTCTGTGTTCACCGGGTGAAAGTACTATTTTCGCATTTATAGGGTAGCGTTCTGGAGTTCATTGTTCGTTGAACGACGGGCTGCGACGCGACTGTGCGAGCTGTAAAAAAGAAGCGAAAGCGGAATCTAACTGCGAGGTGTGTTACTAATTGCCACGCAGCTTGCGAAACAATACTCTCAGACTTCTAATTAACACTATTTAACTAGTTACTCTCTGTGGCAATTAATTATGTCTTTTATTACGTCGTAGCCTGACGGTAGATTTTTGTCTCAAGTAGCGTATTAAGTAGAAAAATATTCCCAAATGCTACCACAAGATATTAACAAACCGGATATTCACTTTTTTGAGAGTTTTAAGAGAGTCTAGATAAAGATTTTATATGTTTCGTTGAAAAATGGCAACGAACAGCAAACTGTCGCAGCCCGTGTAAAGTCTGATATTAAATATAAACGACCAAATCGATTATCTCGGAAGGATGACGGTTGTATGTCTGTACATGAAAATAGTATTTTATCCGTATACTTGACAAACGTAGACGGCGCTTAAGTGCTTGTCCGCTTATCAACCGACCTCGTACAACCGTTTACTTATTTATCTACTTGTCTTATACTACTGACCAATAATTGGTGACAAAATGACTAAAAGTTAACTTCTACTTAAGTCTTTATCTTACAGAAAAAAAATCTAAGAAAATTTCCAACTCTTTCCAACTTCCACTTTACAACAAAAGACTATTTTTAGTTGAACGATAAGAGTATACTATTAACAAATTTTATCGTATATCTCGCGCGAATATATTAAAGATAAAATATTTCTTTCTAAATTAATTATGTGACCGGAAAAACTAACAACAGAATCGATATAATACTCGTATATAATATTTCTTTCTTTTGGAAGTCTCTTTACTTGAACGTTCGCCAATTTGACGGTCAGCAGTGATCACCCGTCACTCGTTTGCTTGCCTGTTTGGGATTGAATGTGAATGTGTCTGTTCTTTCGATGATTGCGCGATGTGACCGATGACGATCCATTGGATCGTCAAGGACGACGATGACGTCACCGACGACAATCTACCTCGACAGAGATAAATTAGTTCCTCGCGGACTAACACTTCTAACTGCCCTCCGCGAGCGCGACTAACAATGAAGAGAAACTATCTTCCGCCCCCGGCCCAAGGGAGAATAATAGACGCGCGTTTCGGCGTCGCTCGAGCGACAGTAATCGCTCGATTCGCGATCGACAATCGAAAGGTATCCGAGAAGGTGTCCATTTACCACGAATCTTCTCGCGTATACGCGACTCGAGGCTGAATGTACTTACATCTTCACCATCACGCCTCGATCTCTTCTATCTTCACAGCTTCACCGTCATTCTCGCGAGCGGGCCTGGTTCTACGTGTCGCTGGTCCTCAAGCAGAAAATCAAGAACAATTAGATCTAAGAATGCAAAACCGAATGTAAAATCTCATAAATTTTGATAAGAAACATCCAATTTTAATCGGAGTTAATTTTTAAAAAATGTATTCTATTTTTTTTAACTTATAAATTTCAGAAATATATTAATGTTTAATTTGTAATATCTTAAATTATCCTTAATCTACAGCTTCTAAATGTGCCATAGAGAAAACAAATATCCTAAATAGAAGTAACTCATTATTTCTCATTTTTATCTTTATCAAGGAAAATAATAGTGCTTATCTAAATAGGCCGCTGCACGATACATCCAGCCTCGCCTCGAGTCCTCTTCTCGGCGTGTCTCTCTTGTTTTGTGACTACCTTCGAGCATTCATTCATATCCCTCTGCCTCTTTCTCTTTTTCTTTTGTCTGTGTCTCTTCTTGTCTGTCTCGAAGAACCGAATTCCGCCGGATAATTCTGGCAAATAGGGCCCAATCTCTTTCTTTCTCTCTTTCTCTCTCCTCTCTCTCTCTTTCATTCTTTTTATCTATCTATCTGTATATCTCTCTCTCTCGACTGCTCGAGACGAACCGCGGGGGCTCAGAGCGTTGGGAATCGTCGTCCGACAGAGAATCCCGTCCCCACTTTCTCTCGTTCGAGTGAAAAAGAAGAAATAAGAGAAATAAGTAAGAGAAAAAGTTGTCTAGCAGAACGTACGATAAGGAAGGAAATTAATGGTGTAACCGCGAACTATATATATAAGACGGTTCGTTACCAATGTTCTTTGCCGAGCGTCGAGTGTGATCGAGCGGCGAATGAATATTATACGCGACGATGACGTACGACGATGTCGTTACGGACGGAGAGACGGAGGAGCATTCTCGCTCTCGATATTGTAATGTAAGTTATTTAATTTTACTCAACTCGCGCGCGCGCGCGCGATTCTCTTTTATTTATGAATCTTGTAACTTAAAAAGACGAGGACGTCCCTGTGCCCGGGGAGGCTGCGAGCGCGCCTTCCCCTAATAAACGCGTCGACCAAAATTCGTTGTCGATCGGCATTCCAGGCAATCGCCACCGCGTGAGTTCTCGTGATGATCCCAGAATGATGGAGACAATCCCGATAGGCTTAAATTCCGACGCTATTTTTCTCGTTCTCTCGCGAGATGTATTTTCCTCTCATATATAGCGTCGGAATATTCGACGGAATTCACGTCGGTCTCGATTTCCGCTGGTTCGTCACGTTTCATTTTCCCGCGAGGGGGGGAATATCCTCCGTCTGGAATGTACTTAAATCGTCGGATCTCGTTATCTACGTTGCTTTATTTATCCCGCTGTCGCTCCTTCCTCGGTTTTCTCCGTCTCTTTGACCGTGTCTTCCTCGAGACGTCGAGGCCACTCAAAAGGCGGAAGAATTTATTTTACAAGTGTAATTTATTTTACGTGATAAGGCAAATTGACACTAGGATAATTGTAACTACGCGATATTTTTCAATTTGCTGATTAGATTGTTCAATATTGTATGATCAGACAATTTTTTACGTTGGAAATTATATCGCGGTGTTGCGATTATCCCATTGTCACAGTTATCTTCCCCTCCTCATCCCTCTTTCCAGCCTCTCGGTCGAGGATCGACGAGAGATACGCGAGGTTCGCTGGAAGACGGAACGCGGGATTGCCGAGGATTCTTCCCTTTTTTTCCCTCTTTCTTTTTGTAACCACAGTCAGTAACTTAATTCGACAAATCGAGAAACGTTTTCTTCGACTAATCGTCGTTGATTTTAAATGTGTCTGCTACTGCCAGCGCGTTAACCGACGTCGAGAAAAGTAAAAATAAAGATACAAAAGATATACAAAACACAATTCAGAACTAGAAGGAGCTGTGAAAAAAAAAACCCTTAGTCGTTAGGTCTTCTCCTGGTTGCGACGTTTCGGCTGTCCCCTGTATAACGCGACGTAAGGGCCCCCCGCTGAACAGACATGAATTGCCGAGTTGAACGGACCGATGTGACAATCATCATCCGTGCGATGAAATTGAAAGTTAAGAGCTACGCACCGTATAGTACAATTAACATAAGCTACAGTGACATGATTGATTGATTGCAGGCGAAGTCGTATTTTGAAGTGATCGGGAATGAACGAAAGTTGGACGGGAAGATCCATCTCCGAGTAATCAAAGTATCTCCGAGATTCAAAGACGATGTTCGGTAATGGAATCGCTCTTGAAAGATCGAATATTGACCGTGATATGATCTTCGAGGAAGAAATTATCTCTTCGACGTAATAGGACATACGTGACTTCAGATTCGTACGATGGGACTTCGTTCGAGTTGTTAAAATTTCAGAAGAATCGAAAAGATACTGCTTTCGGTAGCGGTCTCAGGAACAATTTCCCGGACGCATCGGCGGGCGGTCCTTATGACGTGGACGCATAAATCGAATCTTGGTGCATGCCACTCCACAATTACTTCAGTAGCATCGATTTAGAGTTCCGTTTGCTCTTGCAGTCGCGTAAAAGGTCCGTATTACATTTCTCGTGCAATAATTTGCGGCGCGCGTGCTAATCGGCTTGACGAAGTTACGGAAACCCCGAAAGGGGTCTGATGTACTCATCGCCGTAACTTAATTTAATCCTACACGATTTATCCAACAGATTTTGTAACTTTCTATTATCTAGAGGTTTCAAGATTTTTGGAAATTTTAATTTTTATTTTTTCTTTGTCAGAATTCTCTATTTCATGTCATCCTCTTTAAAATTCACTATATGGCAATCTAAGCTAAAATTAACAAGAGCATTCTCTGAAAGACAAAGGTTTTTTTCTAAGTACTGAGTAAAATGGGAGTGCAGAAGTAACGTGTCCGACAAAGGATTCACTCGTGAAAAACGTAATACGGGCCTTACGGAGCCCAAACGCGCCGCAAAGCGACGCGATCTGTGTATTCGAACATGGATCCGCCGGTCTCTATTACCGGCGAGATCCCTGCGGACCCCCGATACAATGTCGGCTCCCCTTTGGCCGGTGCGATAACGAAGAATCTCATTCACAATCACAATTGGCGTCGCTTCGCGCGCGAGTGCGTAATAATCCGTACGTATCACGGCTCGCGATAAGCCACGCACGCGTCTTGTAAAACTTATAATAGGTCCGCACAAAGGCTGTGGATCCGTATCGAATATCGCGATTTGTAGCAAACGAGAGAAGACATTCTGATTTTTAATATCGACGCATAATAGTAGCCTGTTACCGAGGAACTCTAAGAGAATATATATATATATATATATATATATATATATATATATATATATGTATATATATATATATGTATATTATATATATATAATATATTATAAATATGTATAGTTGAATATCAATTTAACGATATGCATAGGGAATATATATATATTATTATTATTACTATTATTAATTATTATTATTGTTATATAAAATAAAGTTTAAGACAACGTTAATCAAATAACAAGTCCGATAAAAGGAGACCAGCGGAGAGGGTGGTATCTGCGGAATTTCTCTTATACACTCGTTCGCCTTCTTCCTCGTTCCCTTTTCCTCTCTTTTCTTGTATTATCATCGTTTACCACCCCCTCCGCTTCTAAAAGCAGGCGAGCTACATCGAACTGCATCTTCGATGAATCGTATGAATCGCTTTTAGTCTCTCCTGCGCGACGCCAATTAAAAGAGGAGATAAAAGTAAAGAGTAAGAAGAAGAAGAAGAAAAAAAGAACACGGTGGATTTTTTTCAAGTGCGAATCGGTAGAAAACGGAAGAGAAGGGAAAGAGAATAAAACGTGTGTATGCGAGATAGGGGACCGCAGGCCACTGGTCCCGCGAAAACTTTTTCTCTCTCGACTTATAATTACGTATTCACGAAAACAAAAAAGCTGCACAATGATCGATGATGGTCAATAAAGCGATACTAAATCTTTTCCACGCTTGGCTTGTTGCTGAATCAATCTCTCTCTCTCTCTTTCTCTCTCTGTCTCTGTTTCTTTCTGTCTCTGTCTTTTTCTGTCTCTCATGACCCAAACTGATTATCGAATCATGTCCCATCTTTCTCCTCTTTCCCTCGTTACTCGCGATTCAAATCCTCCTTCTGCTCGATCGTCGAAACGCTTTCGTTTTGACGATTCGTTTGTAACATCCTCCCCGGACGACGCATGCTCTTTTTCCGATCGACCGCTTTTGACGTTCAGGCCAGCTGGAAGATATAGCGATCGAAAAAGCGTACTGCATATTGCGAGGAGAATCTACGCGGGGACCGTAGATCTACAGTTTCGGATCTTCTTCGGAATAGGATACGCTCGATTAATCCGCGCGACGACACGTATCGCTTCGCGAATAAAAATCTGCGACTATGGAGATCAACCGCGATCTATGTATTATTAATATTGATTCTCCACCTTGCGACATACGTGAAACAAATACAACAGAATGTCGCAGTCGAGTGCGATCCACGTCGAGCCTTCGATCGATCGACCAACGGCGATCTCTGTTACTCTTCAGCTTCACATCTCCAACAATATCTCTGCTAATTGTCTCTTTCTCTCTTTCTCTCAAATCTACATCACACCATGACTACTATATACGCACATGATCTTCTCGATGATGCCTCTCATTGACGTGTCTAATGCACAATGACGGGTAACGACAGAGATGGTTACTTTTTTCATTATCATTATGTAACTTCCTGTCTTCGTTGCTTTCTATTGCAGTCTAAGACGTTCGTCGAAATGCAATGCCTTCGGATCGAAATTTAATTGTCGTCTATTTCTTATTATTATCTTTTCTAATTTCTACGAATAGATAAAAATTTCTTTCTCAGAGATACTAATTAATAATTAAGCAAAAATATTTTATATTATGAATAATTTTGATAATCTTTAGGAACAAAGTAATCACGACTAAGTAACTTAATATGCTAATATTTGTATATGAATTAGCACAGATTGCGAAAAAATCGGATCAAAATTGTTTTATTTGCGCATTGCATTTCAACAGACGTCAAACGTTGCGGATCCTGTCGCCTGATTTCGATGGAATATATTCAACGAATAAATTATCGGTCTCGTCTTGTACTCTGAACGATCACGCAACAACTAACTTTGTGCACATCTTTTCTTCGTAATTCCATCTGCTCCCGGACTTATACCGACTCTCTGTATATCTCTCTACGCTTGTCTGTCTGTACATTGATTCACTTTGGCACGGCACTCTCGCTCATACTTTGTCCCTTATCACCGAGGCCGAATTGCACCGACAAACTTTAAAAATCAATCCCGATTTGACGAGTTTCTCTCTATCTCCGTCCAGATTACAATTCTATCCGTAGTGTAGTAATTTAGAAAACGAGGTGAATGAGAGATGGTGATTGGATCGAATCAGGATTAATGCGGTAATATTCTGACATTTGTCTCTCATCTTACTAATTATTTAAGAAATAATTATATCGTGCAATTATAATAGCACGCAAAATAAAATGTGATCTTTTTTTAAATAGATAAAATTGCCTACAAATTTGCTGTTTTATTATTTTTTAACAACTTTTATTAATTAAAAAGATTGAGTTAATAATCATCTGATGAAGTTAGTTCGCTGTTAATTGTTAAACATCAACGATATCATTAGCGAAATACAGAACATCGCAATGGGATTCTCGGGCGGTAATGTGGTGCAATCGGCTCCAACTCAGCTTCCGATCGAACGGATTAGATGCGCGGTTCGAACTGGTAGAAAGAAGAAAGAATAAGAAACCACTCAACATAATTAACCATAATTAATGATACACAACTTAATTTAATTTACGTTATGTGGAAATTTTAAAATTGCGAATCGCGCGATTTTCACGAGAGCCCTTCGGGAATACCGAGGAAATGTCTCACTGACAGCGCGCGTTTAGAAGAGCGAGAAGAGTCCTAACACCGGTGAGAAGACGCGACACCACAATCAATCAAATCCGACTACTCTCACAGCCACACTGATTACTTGCGCAAACATCAGCATTTCAATGAGACAAACCGACGAGAATGTGTCACCCTTAACCCTCAAGCTCGCGTTTCGCGTGAGAAACAGACGGAGCAAGGACTTTGTGTTGATCTTTAATTGGTACGATGGAAAATATTGGTACGGAAAAATACAGCTAAAAGAAATCAGCTGTGAAAAATATATAGAGTTATAAGATTTATAAAATATAAGATTTGATATTATTACAATAAAGAAAGATAAGACTTTTAGATATGAATTTCATAACTTCCATATTTCGGCGACGTAAGTAACACAAGTGATATAAATAAGTAA